AAGGCTTGATCCAGTCTAATTGATCCCCTTTCCAAAGGATCCCTAACCTCAGGGTTTCGACGCATTCCATGATGATGTTTGTCCAGTGTTCACTCATTCCCAGCTCCTTAAGGATGGTTTGAATGAAACTCCAAGAAAGCCTATCATAGGCTTTTCCAGGTCTATTTTTAGTACCATGGATTTTTGTCTACCTCTTTTTATTCTCATAGAGTGAAGCATTTCTTGGTAGATAGTTATATTATCCACAATCTGGCGTCCTGGAACAAAGCTACTTTGCTCTTCACCCACCACCTCTCTCATGAGGTCCTTAAGTCTATTAGTAATGATCTTAGTAATCACTTTGTACTTAACATTGCATAGACTTATCGGTCTAAACTGGGAAGTTGTCTCCGGGCTTTTAACCTTAGGAATTAAGGCAATGAGTGTGTCGTTCCAGTCCTTGTGCATCTTGGCATGCGTGAAGAAGCAGGCCACCATTCTGTAGAGGTCTATCCCCACTTCATTCCATGCTTTTTTGTAGAAACCTGCGTGGAATCCGTCGGGGCCGGGGGCTTTGTAGGGTGCCATGTCAAAAAGCGCTGTCTTAACCTCCTCCAAAGTTACCTCCCTGCAAAACATAGAGAGGGTATCAGCATTAATATTGGGAAAGTTAGAGTGGTCATACCTTATCGACGGTCGGTTATCCTCGTCAGTAAAGATACTTTGAAAGTGGTCATGAACCTCTTGGCCATGTCAACCTCGCCATGCACCCAATCCCCATCACGTTGCGTAGACCGGAAGTCACCATAGAAGTCTTCCTCATTCGTGATAGCATGATAGTATTTCATATTGCGGCCTCCCGACGTAATCCACTCTTCTCTGGACCGTTGGAACCACGCCAACTCTTCTAAATACAAGACATCCTCAAGCTCTCGTCTAAGCTTGGATTCAAGTTTTATGAGCCCAGCGTTTCTAGCAAAGCTCATCGCGCATTGGGCACCATTAATTCGTGCTATGAATATCATTTGATACACAATCTAAATATCATTTTGAATCAATGTCCATAATGCTAGGTAGACCCTAGTATATAGTATAATTTGTCGCAAATTATACCCTGGACCAGGGTCTACATTGTAGACCAAGTTTAAAAATAAGAGAAAATTACACTTTTGCTCCTGTGACTATTATGGGCTTGTTAATTTTAGTACTCGACTTTAAAAACTAACAATTTAGTCTCGTAACTATGGAAGTTTTAACACATTTGGTCCTCCCGACCAAATCACCGGTCAAATGTCGTCGGAAAACGTAAACCTTTTTTAAATTATTTACTCATAGGGGTAAAACGGTTATTTTCTTTTAACTTCCTTCACCTGTTGACCGGAACTGCAGCGAGACACCGGAGGCGATGAGCATGGAGACGTCGCAGTCGCCGACGAAGCAGTCATAGAATAAGAGGCGGAGGGTGGCGGCGGCGATGGTGGAGAAACGACGAGAACAAAGGCTATCCAGGTGTCTCGCTGCAATTCCGGCCAACAGCTACTGTGTTTTTCATTGAGAGTTGTCTCTGACACCAAATACTCAGAACCGGAACAGCTCTCTCTACCCTCCTCTTCATTCCCATACCCAATAACAAAAATCAACTTTTTCTTGAAGCTTTTCAGCACAGGTCTCAATATTTTCAACAAGAAAACAAGATGCCTTTTTAAATTATTTTGTTAATTTCACAGGTCGCCAGAAGAACAATAAGCAGAGTTGCTCACCACAATGCCATCAAATTGATACCTTTTTTACCCAAACCTATTGTTCACCTTGGCCTTGTGATACAGATTATTGCGACGCCATTTGAGAGAAATACTGATCGGTCGGCAACGAATTATTTTAAATCGGGGAAGACTCCGATGCTTTATTATTTAAACAGATTTTTCTGATTTTGGTTAGAAAATTTCAATATTTAATAATTCAATTACTTTAACTGTTTTCTTTATTATTACTTTGAGAAATTGAATTGGTCTGGCCAATTGCTTTTATGAGGTATACACACTACCACTGTGGACGTATTTTTTTGAAGAAGGATGAAGAAGAAAGAAGAAGAATGAAGAACATAGAATGACTGATTTATCCCCGAATTAAACAAATTAAAATAGAATTAAAAGATTCCGGCGACATTTAGCCGGTGATTTGGTCGGGAGGACCAAATGTGTTAAAAATTGCATAGTTATGGGACTAAGGCCCTGTTTGGTAAAAAATTGGCCTATAGGTCAATTTTGGCTTATTTGACCACTATTAATTGTTTGATTTAGTTAAAACATCAATATAAATGTTTGGTTAATTAGCTTTTTGCAACTCCAAAAGGCTAAAATTCAAAATGCTACTCCAAGCAACTTTTTCAATTAGCTTTTTGAAAAAAGAAATTATACTAAACAGCTATCAGCTAACAGCTAATTTACCAAACACTTTTCTACAATCAGCTAATGTTATCAACTATTTATACCCTCTAATTAACACAATCAGCTAACAACTAACCGCTATCAGCTAACAGCCATTTTACCAAACAGGGCCTAAATTGTTAGTTTTTAAAGTTGAGTACTGAAATTAATCATTTTTGTACTTGTAAACAAATTAAAAGTACATTACATGATGATTACAAACACATAAACGTTAACTATAAGTATAAAAGATGTTAATTGTAGATACATAACATGCAATTAACATATTTTGTACTTATAATTAACAATTTATGTATTTACAATTATTATTGAGAAAATTTCACTTTTGGTCACACGACTATAGGGGCTTTGTTAATTTCAGCACCTAACTTTCAAAAGTGTCAATTAAGTACCTTGAGTATGTAACTTTTGTCAATTTTGGTCACTTTGGCCAAATTTGACCGAAAAAATTTAATCCAACATTTAGTCTAAAATCTAAGGGGAAAAATGATCTTTTCTACCCTTTCTCCTAATTCTATCCAACTCAAAACCCATGAAAGTAAAAAATTTAACACAATTCACCACCGGTAATTCAAGATCGGAGACTCGCCGAAATTTTCGAGCCCAAAAATCTAATATAGGAAACACAAAAACCCAGAATTCTCATCGATCACGCAAGAAATTTTTCGCCCCATGATGTTTGCTTCTTCCCTCCACCTTCATCAAAACCAAAAATAAAAAATAAAAATTGGCGTACGCAACCATGGCTTCGTTGTTCTCTCCATCTCTTCCTCTCTTTTCTCTTTTCTCTTTCTCTCTGAGATGTCAAAAACCCTCGGAAAACCACCCCTCCATAGCTTAAACCCCACTTCTTATACAATTGACCGCAGTGACCGAACCTATTGGTAAATCATGGTTGGAGACGGCCTACAGAAGGTTGCTAAAGACCGCTTCTATGGCACCATCTTCCCTCTGGATTGCTAAAATGGTCATTCTGTACAGGGTCAACAACTTAATTCGGTCAACACCAATTAGGAGAAAGGATAGAAAATACCATTTTATCCCTCAGATTTTAGACTAAATGTTAGATTAAATTTTTTCGGTCAAATTTGGCCGGCAAATTGGCCGTAGTGACAAAAAATTACATACTCAAGATACAAAATTGACACTTTTAAAAGTTAGGTGCTAAAATTAACAAAACTCCTATAGTCGTGTGACCAAAATTGAAATTTTCTCATTATTATTATATTATGTGTCTATAATTCAATTTGTTCAAAAATCTATATTTATACTATATATAAAAACAAAATCCTGAACTTTAACTTCCCTCTCAATTCCTAAAAAATCTCTCTTCCTAATAAAATATAGAGTAAATAACCAAAATGGTCCCTTGACTATAGCTAAATTCACAAATTGATCCTCGACTTTCAATTTCAACCAATTAAGTCCTTAACTTTGTAATTTTAACACGATTTGGTCCTCTGTCTATTTGACCGTTTGTTGACTATGATTTTTGAAGATATATATGTAATTTCATGGTCCATCGTCGATTTTTTAAGGTTCTGGTTGCATTTCCAAACCGCACTGTTACATTTGAATCCACTGCCGAAAGCAATCTACCAAATCCGGTTGCCTTTCTTCACCCTCCCTTTAGATTCAATGTAGTTGAGTTCGTCCAGAGCGAAGAAGACGACGTGTTTCCGAACCAGTGCAACGTCATCCTGGAGGCCTCCACGTGCTCCGACGAGAGCTGAAGGTTTTTCTGTAGATCGTCAATCACGGTCAACAAACGGTCAAATAGACAAAGGACCAAATTGTGTTAAAATTACAAAGTTAATCGAACAAATTTAGAAGATAAATGTGCCTGATTAGCATATATTTTAGATGGTGAAGAAAATTGAACACTTCAAAGTAATAGATGGACCTATTTGACACTTCTGACTTTAAATAATTGTATAACGATCCAAATATTCTTAATATATTATAACAAATTTATTTTGGGTGAAAATACTAGTTATTAGTTAACAATGTAATATGGTACTCCGTGTAACAATTGAAAATTTTTGGAATAAAGTTCAAATTGGCCACTGAACGTAACCTGAAAATGCAATTAGACCACTGAACGAAAAAAAAGTGCAATTAAGCCACTGAACACTCCAAAAATGTGCAATTTCACCTGATAGCATGTTACCCTCAATTTTAGCAGGTTATCTGCTTATGTGGCAGCTGAGTTGGCATTTTTAATAAATTTTAAATAATTTTTAATAATAAATTTTTATTTAAAAAAATTTTAAAAAAATAAAAAAGACTTTATTTTATTTTTTATTTAATTTTTTTCAATTTTTTAATAAAATTTATTATTAAAATTAATTATTAAAAATTATTTAAAAATGTCAACTCAGCTGCCACGTAAGCAAGTAACCTGCTAAAATTGATGGTAACCTGCTATCCGATGAAATTGTATACGTTTGGAGAGTTCAGTGGCCTAATTGCACGTTTTGGAGTGTTCAGTGGCCTAATTACACTTTTTTTTCATTCAGTGGCCTAATTGCATTTTTAGGTTACGTTCCGTGGCCAATTTGAACCTTATTCCTCTAATCCCTTATTCCGTTCTCGAGCTGTGCTTCTCCACTTCACAGCCACGGACGACGGTTCATCACTTCTCCTTCGTCTTTCACCGCCTCCCCCTCCGGCCTCTGCCCTCGCTCCTCTGTCCTCACATCCTCAGACGGTCAGACGTCACTTCGTCGATTCAGCCGTCTCAGCGGCGACCGTACGGGACTCAGGCACTCAGTGGCTTTGTGGAACTCACCTCAGCCAGTCAGCCTTCTGCGCCTCTGCTTCACTGAGTCACTGTAAATCCAAGGCTCAAGGTAAATTTTTTATTTTTCACATATTAAAATTAAAAGGGATTTCATACATTATATGCTGCCATGACTCTCTGGATTTCATACATTAAAATTTTAATATTTCATACCCTATCATGCTCACTGGACTTGTGTTGTTAGTTTTTGAAAATTAATTCTGGAGTCTAGACACTATGTTATTGGGTTTCTTTAATTGTTAATTAATATTTTATGTGAATTTTTGAGAAATAACCAAAGAAGTTACTGTTTTTGTATCAGTGTTTGAGAAAATTAATCCTGGAGTCTCAATTATTGCAGAATAGAAAATTATTAATTCTGGAATAATTTGTTAATCTTTTGGTTTTTCAGTAAGATGATCGGTCGGTTATAGCATTTACTTTGGTCGGTTATGACAGTAAAAAATTCCAATTGGTTTTTCTGTCGGTTATGTAATTGACTGACCGTTAGCTCACCCTAGCTAGGTGTTTGAGTGTTTCTAGTTTTCTTCTAGTTTGAGTGTTTCTGCTTCCGGTCTCCGCCTCTTCTATTGTTTATAATCTGAAAGTTCCAGCCTTGAAGGCTGGAAGTTGAAGACTAGAAATTCAGAGCCAAGCTACTTCCCCAACATTGTTCTCGAGTCTCCAAAAAAAGTATTCGAGATTGAGAAGCCATTGAAGGAACTCTTGCTCTCATTTCCAGCTCAGGAAATCAATATTGGTCACCTTCTTCATGTAAGTCTCTGTTTGTATTAGTGACAATCTTAGCATATCCAATTTCAAATTCTGATAGGCTTTTGATGATTGTGTGTGATGTTGATCCTTCAAATTCATGATTTCTTTATTCAACACCATTAGCTTGTTTTCTTTGGGACTCTGAGAACATCATTTACTTTTCTGTATTGGTGTCTGAATATGTTCATATTCATGATGATTGGTTTCTGTAGTAAATAAATTTAACAATGCAAAGAAGTAATTTCATTTTCCAAGAAAATTGCAATCCAGACTCTGAAGGAGAGAATTGAGGGAGTCACATTTGCCTACTCTTGCATTAGATCCCTTCATTCTTTAATAGAAATGGTAGATTAAGGGCATTGAAACTGCCATTGGTTCTATTCTAGTGTTCCATGACTCGTTATGAGGTGTAAATTTCAGCACACCAATTTATTTTGAGATACAAGCTTTTCAGTTTTCAATATACTAGCTGGATTGTTGGTTCATAAAGTTGAAAGGAATTTCCCTTGAAAATAGGGTGGTAATATAGTTTTGAAGAAGGGGCTGCATTGGATGATATGGAGGATTTGGGGTTCTTATATACCTTCTTTGGTACTAGAATATTATAGTTCTGTTGATATTTTCTTGTTTTCATATGAACAGGCTCAACTTCTATTTCTATGTTTTGCTTGCTTGAGGACATTTCTATGTAATGAGAATTGCTCTAAGCCTAGAAAAATAGTTAATGCTTAAGTTGGTCTATGTATGTCTCATAAGTCATACCAAAATATGTGGTCACAAGTCTTTCTTTTCCTCTTTATTGAATTGGTGAGTATGCTTACATAATGCTATTATGAGTATTTGGATGTTTTGTTACAAACTTCTACAGTTACTTTAGATTCTTATAACTTAAAAAAAAAAATGTTTGGACTTTGGACTATGTGATGTTTGGACTTTGCTATTTGCCTATTTTAAATATGTATCGTTGACTTGTTGTTTGGACTTATTTTGAGTTGAGACTTGAGAAATTTGAAATATGCATTATTGGTTTGTTTGTATTTTGAAATTTAAATTATAAGCAAAAATTAATAAATAATTATTTTCCCTAGAAAACTAGGAAATGTTGGGAATTGGGATTCCCAAACCGGACTGAAGTCTGAAAATGGGACTTCTCTTTCAAAAATGAACTGAAAGAGTTAAATAAATTGACCCAGATTTTCCACATATCAGCCATTTTTAAGAGCTTAGGAAATTGAAGATATGCAAATCTTCTTAGTTGGAATAACTTTTCTTCATTGCATAAATTTCTTTTTATTCGCTCCCTGAAGCTAACTGAAATGAAGGGTTTTTTTTGAAGGGCAAGTTATGAATCGTCAAACAATTTTATTTTTTATTTTTTGAAGGGCAATTGATAAAACAGAACATCTTCAAACCTCAGCATGTTGGCGGAAACACTCTCCCGGGGAATCCAATGTTGTTTCAAATCCAAACCGATTTCCCAAAACCTCTTTCCTTTATCAACCTTCATTAGACACAGTCATAGCTTTCCCGACCAGAGCTTCGAAGATTTCCCGGAGAACTGCCGCGAACTCGGCCACACTGATCGCACTTTGGACCCGGAGTCCACTTCAAGCTCCGCCACCGCTCTCGAAATTCAAACCATTCTCAAGCTTCAGGCCAACAAATCGATCACTGGAATACATAGCTCTCTCAGTGAAAGAAGTTTGACCTTGACGGAGGAGTTGGTTCTCGATGTGCTTAAACGGCACCGTTCTGATTGGAAGCCGGCATATGCATTCTTCAGTTGGGTGCTAGAAGGGGGAAACCGCACTGGGTACTCGCCGGGGACTGGTGTTTACAACGAAATGCTCGACATTCTGGGAAAAATGAGACGTTTTGATGAACTGAACGAGATGCTCGACGAAATGTCTGAAAGAGGAAATTTGTTCAGTGAAAGAACATATGGCATTGTTGTTAACAGGTATGCGGCAGCTCACAAAATTGAAGAAGCTATACAATTTTTGTACAAGAGGAAAGAGTTTGGGCTAGAGATTGATTTAATTGCTTTCCAAACACTGTTATTGTCATTGTGCCGGTACAAGCACGTTGAGGCAGCAGAGTTCTTGTACCATAACAAGAAAAAGGAGTTCAGGGATGAGATCAAAACGAGAAACATTATCTTGAATGGCTGGTGTGTTTTGGGGAGATTACGCGAAGCCAAGAGGTTTTGGAATGATATTGTGACTTCTAAGTGCAAGCCTGACAAGTTTACATATGGGATATTCATCAATTCATTGTGCAAGGCTGGGAAAATAAGCACAGCAGTGAAATTGTTTCAGGCCATGTGGGAGAAAGGGTGCAAGCCAGATGTGGCTATCTGCAATTGCATCATTGATGGGTTGTGTTTCAAGAAGAGGATCCCCGAGGCTCTTGAGATTTTCCGAGAAATGAATGAGAGAGACTGCTTACCAGATACTGCTACTTACAATTCATTGATCAAGCATATGTGCAAGATCAGTAGGATGGAGAAGGTGCATGAGCTTTTGGGGGAGATGGAAGAAACCGGCGAGGGCTGTTCACCAAATGCTAGAACTTATGGTTACTTGATAAATTCTGCCAAGAATCCAGAGGAAGTTTCTCAGATCTTGGAAAGAATGGAGAAGAAAGGGTGTAAGATGATAGGGGATACTTGCAATCTGTTGTTGAGGCTGTATATGAATTGGGATCTTTATGAAAGATTGAAAACTACTTGGGATGAGATGGAAAGGTGTGGACTTGGACCTGATCAGAGATCTTACACGATTATGATTCATGGCTTGTTTGAGAAAGGAAGGTTAGAGGATGCATTGCATTATTTCGATGAGATGACATCGAAGGGACTGGTACCAGAGCCGAGGACAAAATTGTTGGTGGATGCCATGAACATTACCTTGAAAGACAAGGGAATTGACTCAGAGAAGGTGGGAACAAAGAACAAGCCAAATAAGCATAGGAGAAACTGAAAGTAATGTGTCTTAACCTTCAACAAAACCAGCCTAAGGAAGAGGGTAACAACCAATATATCATCAATATTGAGATTTGAGATGCTCTCCCAAATGTATGTGTTCAGTACTTTGCTATGAATAATAGAGTTTTTATATGAAAGTTCACTTATTTTCTTGTGAAGGGTTGTGTCACTTATACACACACACACAAAATATATATAGGTCGCGAGCCTATAATATATATACAATGTTTATCTTTTAGAGTTTTTATTTTTCATTTGTTATGATTTCATAAATTGCTTGTTTTCATTTCTGCTGAGACAGGATATGTTAAATGAAATTTATCAAATCAAATTCCATACACTCTTCACTGGTATTAGATGCCTTGCCTATTTCTTACTTTTTATCCCACTTTTCTTGAAATGTTTTTGAGTATGCTGAGTATTAATATGTATAAAGAAGCACCTGCCATATCATATCATGAATTGTTTATGCTTTGCTAGATAGAAGAATATGACTGCTTTCATGGAAGTTCATTTCTCAAGTGCTGTATTTTGGATTCTTTGGGCTCCAGCTATGGTGGTATGATTTTAATGGAGCAGTTAGTACATTTCGTTTGGTGTTATTTGTCAAGTTTATTGACAAAATTCATCATTACATATTAATGTTCATTTAAATGATTTGCATGAGACATGCCAGGATGTAGATTCCACTTTCTAAAACACGCATTTGATTGAAATATAACCACATGAATTTGACTTCTTTTTTTTCCGTGATCTCAAGATACCAGGCTTTTCATTCATACTTGTGATTTAATTCCAGGAAATTGAAGCTCTTTTGATAGTATTCTGCATATTTCATGCCTGCGAAGGACTGGTTTTGCCATCACTTGCCAGATTAAGAACCATGTAACTAATGTTGTCGAGATTTTGTAATTTTTTGGTTAAGTAGCAAAAGCTTGGGTAAAAATAGCGCTTGGGCTGATTATTTTGCTTAAAATTTTGTATTTTTTGTTAAATACGGAATGATATGAATCAGAGCGAAACTCCATGAAAGGAAAATGAATGATTCATATAAATCACTTAGTGGGAAATGTTCAGAAGAAATTCAATGCTAATAATCCTTCTGTAGTCATTTAGATTAGTTGATAATGAGTAGCTAATATTTTCTTCATATATTTTTTTTTTTGTTATTTTTTCAATTTCAACCTGTTTAGGAATTTACTAAAAAGTAAAAACTAGTTAAAAATTATAATTACTAAAAATCAGAGATTACATAAAGTTCTAAATTAATTAAACCAATTTGAAACCAGAAAAATATGAAAAGACAAAAAAAATAAATTTTTACTAAAAATACAAAAAGTTATGAAGGCTAAAAGTGTTCAAAAAATAATAGTTTAAGATGTTAAATGACAAAAACGATAGTTTAGAACTAAATTTGAAATTGTCACAAAAAACAAGGGATCTTTTGTGGAATTAACTCCTAATATTAGTGTTTAAAGGGGATGTGTAAGGTCATTACAGTTGAAGTTTTCCAAGAGTTTATTACAAAGAAGATTAGCTCAAATCATACTTTAGAACTATTCCATAAAATTGTTTTACAAAATCAAAATAGGTGATAGACTGAATTTAATAAATCATTGAACGTTGTAATTATAAAAATGAAAAGTTTTGGGCGTGAGCCGCAAATTAGAGGTGTTGTCCTAATGAAGAGAGTATAAAGAGTAACTACTCGTAGTGATATCCTGAAAAAATTTGATCTTGTTATCCATCCTACAGTATAAACTGAGAATAATGAGATGTGATCTCACACTCACTAGAATCAATTCAAAATGGAATGCTTAACATGGTAGGTACTCTTAACCTGTTACATGAACACTCTGTAGAAGACCCTAAAACCTCTGCTCTGTCATCACAACAGGCTGAGCTTCAGCATGCTTTCTTCCCAGGTAAGGACCACTTCTAATAGCTTCCTCCAGCTGTGGACATCATCAAAAACTAGTGTTATGATATACACAAAATACACCTTGAAATCTTTTCTTTCTGGGGGTTGGGTCCTTCAGCATTTTCGAAAAGAAAAAAAAAAACATTAATCATGATTGCAATGAGCTACTTGAATAGGAATGATGGTTGGGGTCTACATCTGTTAGGCACAATCTCATACTAAAACCCAGTAATATTTCTATGGATGGACCGGACCAATCACAAGTTATCCACAAAATCTGTGCCGGATGCAGAGGAAATAAAATATCTAAAGTTTTTGAGATAATGACGACTCTACTACCTTTGTAGCTAGACCAGAACGTGCAGGGTCACTCATTAGTTTGCTGGATGAGGTGAAAGACTCGTATACTGCCTCACAACACTTGTGCCGAGCTTCCATACCTAAGAGTTACCAAATTTCCAGAATTTACAAGGATTAGAAAACATCAGAGTATTCATCATAAACTGAATTGATGTACAAAATATAGACCTATCTTTTCTGTTTCAGTATATTTGTTGGTAACAATATCTACAATTTCTTGTCTAGATATAATCTCTATCAGGCACCAAGGTCGAGCCACCAATCCTGTGATCACTCGATACCCCTGTCAGGTTGAACTAGAGTTCAGGTACATTGAAATACTTAAACAGAAGAAATAATGTAAGGCCTTTTCTGGTTGCTAGGTATCTTTATAAGATTTGTAAAAAAAAGGAATAATAAGTCTTTGGTCAAATAGAAAGGTACTCACAGCAAGACGAATTTCTGAATCCTGTTGAAGAACCGATAGGAGGAGGCCCTGTCACAAGAACCAACCTCACAATTATAGATGCAGCCAAGGCACTACACTACTCATAATGAAGTCAATTTTGTATCTTTTTAAAAAAATACCTAAGCAGGTCAAGAAAATGCACTTAGGCACCATCAGCACCAATTGGGTTTTACATTACAGATGATTTAACAACTGTTGTGGTGCAGCAAAAAAAAAATTATTTCATGGGTTAAAGGCTAAATATTGAAGTGTCTTTGTCAGTGACTGGCTGGCAGCCAGTATCAATACAACAGTGCCAGAATCAAGCTGCCGGCATTCCATTCCATGTTTCCATTTTTGAAGTCGCAAGTGAAAAGAAATAAAATTAAACTTACAGAAGGTGTCAGTTTAGGAGACTTTGATGATGTGTCATAGATCAAACGTCGTAATGACTCTTCTGCATCACCATCCAGTAACACGTCATTTCCAGAACGAGTTTCTCCAACAATGTTTCCAAGAGCATGCAGTGCAGCCTGTATCATGCATTAAAATAAAATAAGAAGAATCTAAGTAATTATAGAACAAACCTTCCTCGGCCATGTATGTATGGATTCACTTAAAGTATGCATATGGCAACAAAGAATCAAAAGGTTTTTATGCTCAGTGGAGAATAGAGATGTCACGGAAAATGAAAACCCAAGGGTTCTTACCAGTCGTTTACCATGATGTTGGCAATCAAAAGCAGCACTGATAACATGCCTAACAGGAGCAGGTGAACTCGATAGTAGCGCAGCAGCTCCTTTCTTGCCTGCAGCACCATGTTATGGCAAGCTAGTTTGCAAGTGATTTTTTTAATTTAATTAAAACTAAAGGAGGTATTTCCCCATTTCCTAAGAACCATCTAGCAACAAACTCCCCCTAGCAGGCTTCCCCCTTATTGGCAAAAATGTAAGAAAAAGTTAAATTTCAAGTAGAAATTGTTAATAACTTAATATAGTTAATGCAATGGCCTGTGACCCAAATTAGCTAATTCCCAACAGTTATGCTCAGGACCAAACGAGTGCTACACTCAAAAGTCCTCAATTAAGTGCATAGGTATTTGCCATTTGTGATGTCAAAGTCGGACATTTCAAAAACACATGTAATACTTCTAAAGATGACATGTAAACCCTAAAGGTGGCTCTCACAGTAATCATTATGTATTTGTGTCCATGGTGCTAATGTGCTATAAGCATATACTACATGCAACCCCCATCATTTCAGTTAGTAACAACCTTCATTATGATTTTCTAGCCCGGACATGACATGGACTGCAAGAAGACTGAGTGATTAACTTTAGGCCTATCTAACTTGGGGTAGCTCCCACAGTAATCATTCTGCATTACATTGAAGCCCATACTTTCAGACTTCCAATTACTCCAATTAGTAACCACTTTCATCTAGCACCAAAACAAGTATGGTCTGTGAGAAGAGATGAATCCTTTATTTTTAGGCCCTCAATTAAACTTTTGCAGCGCACATCCAAGTGGGCATTCCCATGCTCATATCTTTCCACAGTAGTTAAGTTCTCTAGTTCATATGCATACCAAAAGCCGGACTACCGACTACCCTTTGCACCAAGGATTTAATTGAAAGTGTATGAATCACCAGTCAGTGACAATTTAATGTACAATTAAATGGCATTTGATATACTGTATAAACAAAGCATATTAGCACAAGAATGTCTTAACTTTACCAGAGGCAAATGATTTACTTACACAAACCAATTTGACCAAATGCTTCAAGTGCACATTCAAATTCGTCTGCATCTTGACTTCCCAGAAAAGCAAACCTCCTATCAATAGCTGAAATGACATTTCTATAACCTATCCAAAATAAAATTATCTCATGCATCAGCCACTTGTAATAATCAGTTAACTTGAAAAAGCAATGCAAACATCCCACTAAAAACTCACAGGTTTGCTGTAACCCCCACCACCCACACATCTTACATTGGAAGCATAACTGCTTAAGGCTCTTAATGGACAGTTTCTCCGGCTTGTGATTCATTTATTTATTTTTTTAATTTTCTTTGTTCGGCTGACAACATTTCATTATACCCATCCTTTAATTCATGACAATATTCACACAGAAAACATGATCTCAACACATCACCATCCATATTAACTTGAAATACTAACATTAGTCCTTAAAATGCAAAGAAAGAAAAAATCCTTATCTTACTAGGTTCATCAATAAACAGAAATGCATTGTCGTTGGACAACACCCTTCCAGTTATCAGCATTGCTCTAGATCTCAAGATTGAGTCAGCAGATGCATTGCTACAGAAGAAGAGAAGGGATAATGAATAATGCATCTTAATAAAACAAAATAAAATTCAATCCTCATCCCCGAAGGAAAAAAAAATATGGAGAGCATTGGAAAAGCATAAACATACAGATGGCAATGAATAGAGTATGCCATAGATGTACCCAATTATCAAACTACCCCAAAGAACTGAATAAGATGTTAATAAAAAAAAAAACATAAAAATAAAATAAGACAGATGCAATGAAAGTGCCAAAAGTGTACCTAATTATTGAACTAAGTAGATAAAGAAGTGTAGTTCTTGACAAGAATTCCATGCTATGCTGAGCTTCAACCAACTTCATTCACCAAGCACATGCAGAAAGAACACGTAAAAGATCAATATGGAACTTGTTCAGGGAGAAAAAACAATGTAGAGATCTCTTTACTTTTCCCCAGGGGCATTTGAAGCTCTTTCTTAATAAGTAATTTAACTTCAGGTTGCCTACTAGAAAGACAATGATATAGTAGCACCCAGGATCACATGAAAAGATGAAAAATTATGCAAATTTTAAATGATGTTATAGAGAAAATTTGGGAACTTTTTAAGGCATAAATTGTAAAAGGCACACCTCGTATAAAAGTTCTAATGCGCTCAATGTTACAAGTGTATCATTAGCATTGCCAACTTCTTTCTCCAACAAGCTAAGAAGATTGGCATTGTAGACTTTTGATGCCACGGTGGTAGAAATAGAAAATAACTTCACAATCAATGCTAAAACTCGAACTCGTCCCTGAATATATTGGAGAATCAAAAACAACCAAAAGAAGGAAAGGGAAATTTATTATAGGCAATCTCATATGAATTTGCAGTATGGCATATTTAACAATACTGTAGTTTATTATCCACCAGAGGCCAACAAGTCCTGGTATTATGTAGATTAATTGCAGTAACAGAAATAAGACTCAAAAATAAATTATCATATTAAGTACTCTACCAGTGAAGAACATTTTGCAGCCAAGTCTCCAAGATGTGTCTGTTCACTGCTGCTTGCGGGAAATATGATATCCTGCAGAAATTTGTCCATTTGACAACAAATTATGCCAAGAAAACTATGAAAAAGAAAATCATTAGAAGCATTATATAAAATCAAGACCGCATTGACCAAACGAGTGACAGAACACTACATACTAAGCCTTTTGTAAAGCCAGCCAAATTCTTAATTGCAGCAATCGCTGCTGCTGCAACTTGTTCATCCCTGAAAATAGGCAAAGAATCAATTCCAAGAAACTAAGTGAGAGGAAGGAAAATCATAAAATAATCATTGAAAGCAATACTTCTAATTAGATAACCAGATAATTGGGTGAAGATTGTTAGTAAACAGCTTCTAAGGGTATCATCTATCATGAATGTTGAATTAAGCAATTTATGCATCTGCTGCTGCCACTAACAGTAAATGTCTTTCAGGAAAAGACAGCTTGTTCTCACTTTGTAAGTTAAACACTGTTGTAGTAATCTTTAAGACACTTAAGAAAATGTGTAGCAACAAGCCAACAACACGTGCAGAGATCTCAAGGAGCAAACTTGGAGGGAAATAATCCAGTCATCCAATGAGAGTTTGATTTGGGTTGTAGAAGGACAGAATCTATGAGACAAATAACCAATAAAAAAAAACAGAGAATGAGCAAAGTTTTGGCCAAACGGAAGAGACTAGTCAAAAGTACCTTACCCATCAATCAGGCAACTGAGCAATAAAGGATATACACCATTCTGGAGAATGAGATATACAGCAGTAGTTTCATCAGTATTATCCAAAAGGGAAGACACCTGAACATAGTAGTTTCTATGTCAGATTTAAATTAAATATAGCAGAGAAATCTCTTACACCAAGATGCCACAGAAAGAACAATACAGGCACTCAATAAGTTCCTTAGAATTATTTACTACTCCCCCTAACTGCCCTAGTTCTTCTCAGTGGAAAATAATAATTCAGCTTAGCAATTCAATCAATTTCAATTTTCAAGCATCTGTTAAATCAGCTAATAATTACTACATAATTATGATGATGTGACAATGCTTAGTGTTTTTTAGAAATCATTCAGTCGTGCATATAATCCATTTAAGCATTACAGATCTGCAGTTGTGATTTGCCACATGTGCATAAATGTCAAGTGTGTTAATTTCAGTTCAGGGAAGAAATTGAAGTTTACAGACAAGAACAGCTTCATTCGAGCAGAAAACTTTAGTAAGCAGACAGAAGAGTCCTACTATCGTCAACCAAGTTGAAAGTGAAAATGGCATTAGCAACTTTAAAAATCAGTCATGGAGCTGAATATATATAAGATGCACTTACTGTTGTACAAGCCAAACGCCTGACATTCTGAGATGGTGCACCCAGGCCAACAACAACGAAAGGCTGAATAAAAAGGAGAGCAGTATAATTCAACTAGTGCATCGAATTTTAACAACGATACTGACATCTCAACTCAAGAAAATCAAAGCCTCAGTACCAAACACAAGTAGATTCATAATCACTCATAGTAAAAGGAAAATAAGACTAGGGGTACATTGAGTTCAAATCATATCTTAATAAAACAATGATACTGGCATCGCCAAATTGAGAAAAGGAAAAACACATTACCAAACACTAGTAGATGTATAAAATTCATTCATGAGAACATAGTAACAGTAAAAGGTAAACAAGACTGGGAACATCAAGCACAAATTCTATCTCCATAAGGTTTTTGTTTTCCATTTTCTTTGCTATATTAAAACCACTTAAAATAAAGATAAGCCAGTAAATAGAACACTAACAGAGAAGTGAATTTGCAATGTAAATAACATACAGACATAGAATACCATGAAATGTGGGATCAAAGATGCTCCATATTTAGTTCTGAAAACCTTGTCTAAACAATCACACAACGCGTCCTCCAGACCCGGATAATCCGATTTCGCTTGTAAAGCACTGAAAGAAATTGAAAACTCCACAAATAAATAATCAACTAAAAGAAAAGCAAGTCGGATGGGCCCAGAGAAACAGAAGGAGAACGGTACTTGATAACGGCGGGCAGAGGGAAGCGGTCGAGGAATTCTTGAGCTGAAACATCAGATTGAGGGCCTGAAATCGGGAGACGGTGACGCTGATGATGATGATTATTGATGAAATTTTTTTATAAAATGAAAATAATGCAGAAAATATTTTACTGGGATCATAAGCGAAATCAGTTGCAGCTTGGAGTAGCTGAGCTGCATCAACGGAGTATTCTTCTTCCATGGCGGTTTTGAGAAAGAATCACGATAATGCCACTGCGACTTGGTGAGATACGAATCATACGACTACGAGACTAGAAGATTACTGAAAATAGACTTTAGTAAACAAGTTTTAATCAAAATTCTTTAATTTTTACTTTGGTAAACAATTTAATTGGAGATTTTTTTATCTTACTGTGAGACTTAATACTCATTATTATGTTTATTTGTCTATTCTTATTAAGTTCTTGGATTCAAATTATTAAATAATTATAAAACTCATTATTATTTTCATAACTTACTTTTAAACAATATAGAATAAGAAATGAGAAAGAAAAATAAAATAAAGAAGTCATTACGACATTGCCCATGCATTACATATGAAACTTTAATATGTATACATATACTAACATTTTGTACGCGCGATGCACGGAAATTTATGTCCAATATTAAAACATTGATAAATACAAATAATTAAAAATTATAATTCGAATTATATATACACAAGTAATATATGTTTTTTTTTTTTTTTTTGAGAAAAAGGAGGGGAACACCCCATGTCAATATCTGACCCTCCATCTTTCTTTCCCTTGTTTTCCATAAAATAATAATCTTATTTATTGGATTATTATTTATTTTTTCTACCAACGGTTCCAACAGTCCATACCAGCCTTCCGGTTCCATATTGTTCTAAGGCGCCGCAGTAAGTAATTGTAACCCACTGTCTTCCCTAGGAGTTTTATTATTAGAGTGTTCTGCCATTTGCTTCTCAGCTTTATCTTCTCCTCCTTAGTTAGTCTAATCACTGGGCAGATTGGGTTGTCATCACCTTCCTATTCCCTTTCATCATCCGAGACGTCATTAGTTTTACCTCTTTCAGTGTCGCTTATGCTTGTCAGTGCCGCTCCGAACGAAGGGATCTGAGCGCTATTTTTACCCCACAAAGGATTGTTCTGCCCTTCTATTTTATCATTCTCCTCATTGATGCTTTCGTTCCTTTCATCTGTGTCCATCTCCGTTGATTCACCTTCCCTATCCGAAAAGTTTCTCTTCGTCTTCTTCTTACTATGTTGGAGAAGGTCAACCTCCTCCGTAGAGGTGGCTGCCGACGAGGAGTTTTCCAGCGTTCCAGAGAGAATCATCTTTTTATTTTTTGCTTCTATTTTATTTTAATATATGTTTTTTTATACACTCATATATGAATAACCATTCATAGAAATTTAATTAAAATATAATTAACCATTAAATTAAATATATAATGTTTTTAATAAAATGATAAATAAAGAATAGGAAAAAGATATGATAGATATAAGTGTATATATTAATAATGGAGTTATCATTGCTAGAATTAAAAATTAACGGTGTTTTGTCTAATAACATCGAAGTGTGTGTAATAACATTGAAGTGTGTGTATAACATTTAAAGTAAAATGTATACATTTATTAGCATACAAAACGAGTGACATAAATCAAGAGGGACGTTGTTTTGGGGCTGTATTATATATATAATTTTTGCTTTATTGTTTCACATTTTTTACCGCAGAGCTCTCGCCTCTTTTGTTGCCTCTCTTTCATCGCCTCCAACCTCTCTACCTCGCTGCCTCTCTCGTCCCTGCCTACCGGAGTACCGACTACTGTCCCTCTCGGTCTCTCGTCTCCTCTCAGGACTCAGGAGTCCTCTGTGGCTCCATCGCTCTATCCCTGTCTCACTGTCTGTGCCGCATGGGCATCGCCACACTGGTGACCAGTCGCCGGTTAGCCGCTTTACCGGTCAGCTGGACAGTAGGAACACCGCCTCTCGTCTCCCCTTAGGACTCGGGTTCGTATTTTTGCCCTAATTTCTCTAATTTTATTTGTAATCAATTTAATGTATGTACTTTTTGTATGTGCTTTGTTCAATTTGTTTATGAATGTGGGCAGTGTCTTAATTTGTTCAATTTGTGAATCAGTGAATGTGAATTTGTTGAGTATTTTTTTTATTTAATTTCAATCGTTATCCTATAGTTGAAAAAAATGTTAGAACTCAAACGAAGAACTCAATTCGAGTTTGTTCGCTGCCAGGGTGACAGAATTGTTTAGTTTATGAATGTGCTTTTTGTAGAGTTTTTTTTGCATTTTTGGTCCCACGAGTATTGTGGCAGTAACAAGATTGCTTCGAACCTTGCAAACTTGATCCACGACTATCATTTTTTTTTTTAGCACAAATGGTCTTTCCGGCTCAATTTCCATCCATTTGTGACTGGAAAATTCTTTTCCCCCTTTATAGCAAGGTTGAGCCATGGACGGAGATTTAGCCAGAGGACCATTTGTGCTAAAAATGATAGTTGTTGATCAAGTTTGTAAGGTTCGAAAGTCATGGAGCAATCATATTAGTGACACAATACTCGTGGGACCAAGAGTGCGAAAAACTCGCTTTTAGTATATGAATGTGAGCAGTGTCTCAATTTGTTTAAACAATGTCTCAATTTATCTCAATTTGTTCAATTTATATCTCAGTGAAGGCGTTGTTGATTCTTTGTGCTTCATTAGGTTGAGAAAGTATGTTTGAACAGATACTACAATGTAATAGAGTCAGTAGCATTCAAAAAAAATCAATTATATGAATGTGAGCACTGAGGCCTAAGTAGTGAGTATGTCTAAATTCTAATATTATTTTGAATGTGAGGATTGTGAGCAGTGAGTATGTCTAGATTTTATTGGTGTTGCCATAATTTTCCTAATTTTGTTTTTGCTTTAATTTCTCTAAATTTTTGTTTAGCATATCATGAACTAAAGTGCATAAGTGGCTTAATGTAAGCCTAAGATCCATTTCAAAAATCTATATCTATTTTGGAAAATTATTATCTAGTTGCATTGATAAGTTGCATGATATTTGATTTCCAATTTGTGAGAAAAGAGAAGTTGTTGAGAAGTTATGTGCACGAGTTTGCATAAGTAAAGTTGTTGCATTAGATTGAAGTGCATGAGTTATATCTGTATGTATCTAGTGTGAGTAATCTGAGATTTTGGAGGCCCGTTAGGACTATGTCCTTACGGAAGAAAAGAGAAAGAAAGAAAGTAAAGAAAGAAACAGACATTGCGATCCGATGTGAAGTAACGAGGTCGATATTCTCGAGTTACTAGGTAGGATGCTACCCGTCGGGCTTGGAATCCCGGTTAGGGGGTGTGCACACTGACAAGTACGATACCTGATTCCACAGAGTTTGAGAAAAGAACCAAGAGAGTGGTTCTGTGGGTGAGATGACTATTAAGCTGGCTAGATGTCGAGCCCAGATAGGTTCACATTATGGTGAAGTTCCTACCTCGCCCACGAGTAAAAGTAAAGAAAGAAAGAAAGCGAGTCTATGTGACTCAAGAGAAATAAGAGAAAAGTGAGTCTGTGTGACTCAAGTGAAAGAAGAGAAAAGCGAGTCATTGTGACTCTAAAAAACCTCTACCGAACGAGTGTTCCTTGTTACAAAAGAAAGAGTGTATATGTATATCTATCTATACTTATACTAAAGCATCATGTTCATTTTATTGCATGATTAAATGATTTGCATGTATTGCACGAAAGTATGAGAAGAAGCATGACTTTATATTGTCATTTATTGAATGTATTGATAGCATGAGATTGCATGTTAAAGTTTAAGTATATTATTACCCATCAGTTAAGCAGGAGTAATTTATTTCGCCATGATAAGTTATATATGTGAAAGCATGAGATTGCTGATGAGTTAAATGATTGAGAAAGCATGCCTATTTGATAATTAGGTTGCAAGCATATAGAATTACTGTTGAATATATTTGAGTTGTTGTTTTAAGTGATTGAGAATACTTGATCTAAGTGTTTGAGACAAATGTTTTCCAAAAGTATATTCTATAGTACTTTATAGGGTTGAGTGGCGTTATACTTAGCTTCGTGCTAACGAGTTATTTTTCTACTTTCTTGTTTGTTAACCCCTTTCAGGTGGGCCCAGTTCTTGGGAGCGATCGAGTTAGACTGGCTTAGCTTAGAGCGCTAGTTGTAGTCTAAACTCTTTTCAGTTATGTTTGTTGAGACTTGGTTGTAGATCTGTTTAGATGTTTTGTTGGTGCTGGACACCGGGGTTTTGTTCCCCAAGTTTGTTTAAAGTTAGTTAAGCTTGAAGTTGTTTAGATCTTTTCCTTGCCTGTGCAATCACTGTGTGTGGTGATTGTGGTGGTGACACCTCTTGAAGTTTGACTATTAAGCTTATAATGCTATCTACTTGCTTCGTTAGTTTCCCTTTTTAAGTTAAGTCTTGTTAATAAGGTTTAAGAAAAGTGGGGTGTTACACACGCTCCAACCCACCAAACCACGCCAACACTTGTGTACCAAGGCACGCGACCATGTATTTGTTCCTATATTTTCGGAGCTAGTGGTGATGATGGAAGGTGGCTACAACGTACGATGGCGGGGGGGACTTGTGATGGACATATCTGGAAAGTTTGGGAATTGGAATTTGAGTTTGGAAAAAGGAGGAGGAGGTAATGTTGAATTATACTTCCTTCAGGCATCCAGATGCCTAAAGAAAGTGAGAGACTTGTGATGGGGATATGGGACCCCGGGGGTCCATTTTATTAACAAAGTATTGACCCAAGTGGGGGTGGTGAAGGAAGGAAGTTAGCCCAAATCTTATTGGGCTAAGAAGACAAGGGGGCATGGTGGCCCAAAAAGGCACAAAGGAGGAGAGAAAAGAGGTTTTCAGGGCAGAACCGTCGGCGGCCGGCCAGCGCCCCACCAGCGCAGCCAGTGAAGCGGAGAAGCCAGTAGAAGGCCAGAGCAGAATAGGGTAAAGGACGGCGGCGCGACTAGTGAAGGGAAGAAGCCAGTAGAAGGCCAAAGCAAAAGGGGGTAAGGGAAGCTGTCAGCAGGAGTCAAACCCAAAACCTCTTGCATAACAAGCACGCTCCAACTCACCAAGCCACGCCAACAGTTGTGTACTAAGGTACACGACCATGTATTTGTTCCTACATTTTCGCCTGGGCAGCCTTGACCACCGACCGGCGACTGGCCGGCCACCTCAGGCCACGACGTGGCCAACAGTGGTGGTGCGCCCCCGGGCATGTCAACGACGCCCCCCCCTTTCCCGAGGGAGTGCGAGGCGGTGTGTTGCGGTGTTCGGACTGGGCCGTTGGATTGCCGGGGTCGCATGGTGCGGATGCTATGGTGTGGCACTACGACGAACGTGCCCTTGTGTAGCGATGGATACGGGAAGTGGCGAGCGAGGGTAAGTACGTGGGACACGTGGACGTCAAAAAAGGAGAGGGGGCGGGCTATAAATAGGGGCCCTGGATTCTTAACAAGGGGCGACAAGAGACAAGACAGGCACACTGGTCTAGTGGTCTCTAGTCTATACTCTCAACCCTTTCACATGGGTTCAATTCCTATAGCCCACCATGTGGGCCTTATTCTTTGTATTTGGGCCGCCATTTCGGGCCTGTACCTCGAGCTTTGTACGTACTATTTTGGGCTTAGCATCCCGGGCAATAAAGTTACTCTTTTCCTACCCCGTTCTATACCTCTATGCTCGGTTTATGGTGGACTCGGTCCCGATAAAACCATCATTATTATTATTATTAAAGTAAATACTCAAAATAGTCCCTCGACTATAGCATAATTCACAAATTGGTCCTCGACTATTGATTGAACCCAATTAAATCCTCAATTATTCAAAATGTACCTAATTAGATCCTTCGTCAATTCTTCCGTTTAAAACCTGTCAACTTTGAGGTTAAAAGTGTAATTTCATAAGCTCCTTGATTATACAATAAATTATCCCTAAAATAAGACCGAATACGTTGCCGTTCTATTGTTTGTCTTCCTTTCCATTCTCGACTCCATTGCCACCAGCGACAACCGTGGTCTGCCAGAATTGAGCAAAGTAGAAAATAACGAATTTACTATCAAATCTGCTTAACTCCCAAAACTACCTCGATCCCACCAACCGTGGTCATTCTTGCAAGCCTTTCAAGCTTGAATGGATTGCTGTTGAGGGGTCAATGAATCTTCAATGTGAAATCCGATTTCACAGAGGAAATGAAAGGTTTACAATACAAGCACCTCAAGTGTCATGCATTTCAAAGCATTGAAGAGAGAGAAAATGGGCCTTATCAGATTGTGATGCGAGCAATGTCACACTAGTGCTCCCCATTTTCTTGATCATATCGCCTTTAATTTGCAGTTCTGGGCACCCCTGCCTTATTGACAAAACTTTAAAATTTTCTATGCTTTGTTGAAGAGACTCAAGCTTAGGACAACAATATATTTTATATGTGTAGATATTGGGGAAGAGTTAAGCTTGAAAGGCTTGTAGGCAGCATTGCCTACTAATAATCAATACTTCCAAAAGATTGAGGTTATGTAGTAATTTTTCTCACAATCGCATGCGAAACATTGGTGGAAGATAATGCGGTAGACAAGAAAGATGGTACCGACGATAATGTTGGAAGGGAAGCGCTGCCAAAGTTGTTTTGGCTATCTAAAGACGTCGAGCTTGATTGGTACAACAAGAACGCTTTTCAAGAGCGGAAGTAGTCAGCAAAGGGAATAAACTCAAAGTCGATTACAGCCCATCTGAATTGGAACCCAGGTTCGAATTCGAGCTCGCTTCGCTGCAGTTCAGGTTGATGAAAAAGCAAAAGATGAAAAACTTCTGGAAAACCCGTAGCAAATCAACCAATATTAATTGAAAGAAGATTTGTGTTTTTTTCTTGGGATGGTGCAGGGAGGCGACATAAGAAAGGACGGAGGCAATGGTGAAGAAGATAAGATTAGAAATTACGCTTTTGACCAAATAGTTGACGGGCTTTAAACGGAGGAATTGACGGAGGACCTAATTGGGTAAATTTTGAATAGTTAAGGATTTAATTGGGTTCAATCAATAGTCGAGGATCAATTTGTGAATTATGCTATAGTCGATGGACTATTTTGGGTATTTACTCTAATAATAATAATAATAATAATAATAATAATAATAATAATAATAATAATAATAATAATAATGATGATGGTTTTATTGGGTAAATTTTGAATAGTTAAGGATTTAATTGGGTTCAATCAATAGTCGAGGATCAATTTGTGAATTATGCTATAGTCGAGGAACTATTTTGGGTATTTACTCTAATAATAATGATGATGGTTTTATCGGGATCTTCTTCTTCTTCTTCTTCTTTTTCTTCTTTTTCTTCTATCATTTTAAATAAATATGTTGAAGCCACATCAGCTTGAAAGATCTAATCATCAAGTAATTTACTAGTTACCTGAAGGTAACCTACAAAATAGTCTAATTGCACTTTATTTATAAGTTTGAGGTTCTTATTAGAGCTTTTTGAAGTTGAAGGGTCTAATTGCACAAATCAGTATAGTTAGAGGGCTTATTTGACCCTTATCCTTTTATAATAATAGTGCACAAAAGTATTTGGAATGCCACAACGTTTTTTTTTTTTTTTTTTTTTTTTTTTTTACTTATTTCCACTAGCTTCCTATGGGAAGGCTAATTTTCATGAGATTAGAATCATCATATCCTTTGAATATAATTATCAGGAAAAATATTCAAATAAGCCCCTAAATTTTATACAAGAACACAATTAGATCCCTAATGTTCCAGAGACTAAAACCGATGACATGCAAATGAATGATCGTCAGTCACTTTTGAAGAAGGTGCATGACCACTTGGTCGCCTTTTTTAGTGGAGAAGACGACTAGCTAGTTATCTTCTCCGGTGGAGAAGGCAATGGTCGCCTTCGCCGTTGAAAAATGCAACTAGTATGCAAACGATCGAAGACTGTTTGTAATTCATTGGTTTTAGTTGCAGGAGCATCACTAAAGTCTTGTTGGAACACTAGTAACCAGTATATTACAGGTCAATAATTAGTTCTTAGGTTTCGATGCATAAAAATAATATGTTAATTTTTAATGGTTATAATATTCAACGGATTTGAATTTTGAGAGTTATTACGTAGAACCGAAATTTACCTAGCACACACTCTTGAGTTGTGTGCAAATTTTACTATGAACCTTTGATAAATGTTCATTTTTAATCTATTGGAGATTTATTTTTAATGTACTACAAATTCATTTTTATGTAGTATAACTAAAAGTGAACTTTCAATACACCAATGAATCCAATGATATAATGATTGCGAAGGGTAGCTATGGTTTCATCATCATCACTCAAAAAATAAATTTTGAATGGAAAAAGGTTCAAATTGCCCTCCTAAGTCAAGTGGATAGTGCAATTGGGTCCCTCTAAGTAAAAATAAATAAAAATTAAGATCCCCTAAACTTGTAAAATTGTTCACTTAAGTTCAAATTGACATATTTAACGGGTTATTTCTTCAAAAATTTGATACGTGTCTTTTTTAAATAATTTTTATTTAAAAAAAAATTAAAATTCAATTTATTAGAAATTAAGAAAATTTTTCTTTAAAAAAAAAAGAGATTACAGCACCGGGTGTCCCCGCCGAACAGCTGGTGCTGTCTAAGCATGACGGCCATGGCCATCTAGAACGAGGGCGGCAGCCATGGCCGTAGCCGTCGCCCTCGTTCCAGAGGTCCAGATCTGGAAGATGGATGGTCATGGTGTTTGAGAAGACAATGGCAGTCTGTCTTCCAGATCTGGAGCGAGGGCGGCGACCACGACCATGGCTGCCGCCCTCGTTCTAGACGACCACGGCCGTCATGCTTAAACAACACTGGCTTGGGTCCTCGCCGAATAGCCGGTGCTGTAATTTTTTTTTTCTATTTTTTTTTTAAAACTTTCTTATTTTTTTTTTAAAAAAAAATTCTTAATTTTTAATAAATAAATTTATTTTTTTTAAAAAAATAAAAACTAATTTAAAAAAAAAAAAAGACATGTGTCAACCTGCTAAATTGGTAACTTGGACTTAATTTAACAATTTACAAGTTTAGAGAAATTGAATGGAGTTTTTTTTACTTAAGGAATTCAATTGCACTATTCAATTGACTTAGGGGGTCAATTTGACCATTTTCTATTTTGAATTTAAGTAATTAAATCATAATTAAATATGGGAATAAGGGTCAAATAGGCCATCGAACTGCACATGATAATGCAATTAGGCCACTGAACTTAAAAAATCAACAATTGGGTCCCTAAACTAATCAATTTCAAACAATTCTTTCAATTTGTAGGTTTTCAACATGTCAACAGGTCATCCTCCCAAATTAATTATTTTTAAAAAATAAAATTTTAAAATTAATTATTTAAATTAAAAAAAAAAAACAGAAACTTTTTCGTCTCCGGCCGGTTTCTTCGTCTCCACAGCCGGAGACGAAGAAGGTTTCTTTGTCCTGTTGACCTGTCGGAAACCTTTGAATTGGAAGAATTGTTTGAAATTGGTTAGTTCAGGGATCTGTTGTTGATTTTTTGGGTTCAGTGGCCTAATTGCATTATCGTGTGCAGTTCAATGGTCTTTTTGACCATTATTCCTTCAATATGCGACTAAAATCCCAATAAATCAGCTATCAAACACCTTGTGATCACATGACATGTAGTGACTCCTTCATATGAGAGGTCATAAGCTCGAGTTTTAGTGGAGCGCGGTGTACTAATAGAGTCAGTAGTACAAAAAAAAAAAAAAAAAAAAAAAAAAAAAAAAAAAAAACAATAACCAATTAGCCCCCCCCCATGAGAAAGATGTTTCCCATAACCATATAAATGATATAATACCGCCACCATCAACTAAAATTCCACAATCTCTCTCCGCCCAAAAAGACCTTTTAATCACCATCTCCATTGCCTTTTACAGACAGAAAGCAGAATTAATACAAAGGGGAAAACAACAGAGAAAAGATCAGAGGTAGCAAAAACACAATGGACGATTGCAAGCCATTGGGTTTCTTGATTGGCCTGCCTTTTGCCTTCCTTTCATTGATCTTCTCTTTCGTCGGCGCCATCATCTGGGTCTTCGGGTCCGTCTCTTTCTCTCCTCTCCAATCTTCATATCATTTCTTTCTTGCATATGCATTTCAATTTATATATATATGTAAAATACAAACCCTAGTTCTGTATCTGATTCTGCCCATAGCATTAATTGGTAAAAGAATCCCTTTTTGGTATGTTTATAAACAATGTGGATTTCTATCTTCTTGGCAATTAATGCTGTAGAGCTTTCATTGTTCTCTTTCTTGGTTTTTGTTTAGAGCTTTCATGTATATAAGGTTTTAACCTTATGCTTTATATGGTAATTAATCTTATCCGAAATTGCAGTTCCATGTTGAAATTAATTACATTATGTTGCTGCTATTTGCAGCGTGTAGAAACTTGGCCGTTTGGAGCAAATCCGCTACTCCAAACCACCATTTACCAAACCATTTTTCAGTGTTTTGATTAAGTCAAACGCTGAAAATGATGGATCCGCCAATAACCAAATAAGTCCTTTGTGTGTGTGTGTTTTTTTTTTTTTTTTTTTTTTTTTTTTTTAATTTTTTATTTTTATCGGAACTGTTTTTTGAGTTAACACATGTACACAAAACCTTATAATCTAGTGGAAAACAATAAACTAGAAATACCCTCCATGCAAGGATTTCCTCAGTTCATATACCATCCATTTTCTTTGTTTTCTTTTAGTTCTTAATTTGTTTTCTTTCTCTAGTTTGTTTTCTTTGTTTAACTTTTCTTTTGAGTTGCTTGTGCCCATTTCTGTATTGCTAGCTCATGAGATAGTCATTCTAACAGTAATCACCGCGGAAACCTAAGATTTCTTACCATAAAAAGAAGTGATCAAAACTTAGTTTTTGGTTTGATGAAATAATGTATAATTTTTTATCAAAATTTTGACCATTTTAGGAATCTAGAAAAGTACTAGTTGAAACCTAATGATGTTGGTATAGCTCCTTCATATTGTATGGGGTGAGGTAGGGGAAGGGGGCAGCTGATCCTACTATCCCACTGTAGATATGCCCTCGTTCATACAGTTTCATGTAGTAAGATTGTCCTTATTCCTAAAAGGAGATAGCTTTGCAAGCTAACATGCAAAATATACTTTTTATATTTTTAATTTTTTTTTTTGAAATTGCAATGTGATGCAAGTTTGCAACAAGTACAAAATCTGACAAAATGATAGTTTTTGTATTTGTTTGTTTGTTTGTTTGTTTGTTTTTTTTAATTATTATTTTATAATTATTTTGTAGGAGTTGAAATTATAGGTATGTGAAAGCGGGATTCATTTTTAAAAGTTAGAATCATAGAAATGTAAAGTAAATAGTGAATGAATTGTAAATTTTATAATGTGAAAGTAAAACTTGATCACTTTTAAAAGTGGCAGAGTATTTTAAGATTAAAATAATCAATATGTACACAAACCCCCATTGTTTTCATTATGTATATATTTATACTTTTGGCTAACTAGTGCAATATAATTATGAATTTTTAGGTCAATTTTGAGCTGTTTTTGCCCATGTTGCATATGCTGTGTTGGGGTACTAAATTTGGCAGTAAGCCTTGTTCAGCTGCCTCTCACAATACTCGGATGGTTCATTGATCTCATTCCTTGCTGATCAGAATCACATCATTTTCATTTCATCTCTAACACCATATCTCCATTTCCAACTGCTCTATATATATTTATATGTATGTATACATACACAGCTTCTGTATATGTTAACACTCTAGCTTCTTGCAAGCTGTGTGGTATTACATCAAATTAAACATGTTTAGACAATTGCGGGTTACTGTTTTCTTAAAACGAAAATTAAATACAAATAATTGTATAACAGATGAATATATAGCGAATTACTTAATATATGAGCAAATAATGAATATTCTTAATTATCAAATAATCACATCAAACATCATATCTAAAGACAACCTCTAAAAATGTGTAAAACATTAGTGGATTTTCATTTTTATTTTTCACTTAAGCGGTTTGAACAAATTTTCAGCTTGCTCACATTAATTATGAATTATATTGTACAATTAAAAATTTGGTTCAATTGGTTTTAATTTGGCACGATTTAAAAAATTAATATTTAAATATCGTATGATAAATAATAGTATTAATGTCACTAGAGAGTTTAATCAAATTTTAGAAAGGGATAGGCATAGAGCAAACTTTATTGTGTGGACCATGATCCAAAAACGACGTTGTATCGGTATTGTTATATTATTTTATTTTTTTCACGAGACCTGCATTTTTCTCTTCATTGTTTCTTCTTCAACTTCATTGATGCAACACATTTTTATAACTCATAAATTCTAACACGTAAAGTGTATTATTCTAACTCATAAAATACATTATCTTACCTTCAAAATCATTATTCTAACACATTATCTTAATCCGTTAACTGAAAAATGAATTTTTTTAAGTCAAAACAATGTCGTTTTGGACTGCGGTCCACACATTGTGTGGCCACGATCCACACTGTAAATTTGGACAAATTATTGTGTAGACCATGGTCCACACAGTGTTTTGCCATAACAAAAAGTACATTTTTGATATATTAAATATACATTATTTTTGTACTGAATGTACATTATTTTACAGTATACAAAATATGATCGACACAATAATGATTAGTAAATTTGTGAGAATCGCATGATGGATTAGAATAGTAATTGTGACAAAAAGATTTTTAACGCAGTTCGGAAAAAGTCCCTAATCTGTGAGGCACTTATTGTATTGAAAAAAATGCTTGAATCCACTATTAGCACAATTTAAAGTATAGAGCTTAGAAATACTTTTGCACAATAGAATCTTAGATCTCACTATATCTCTATTGAAACCTAACTCTAGTATTACTCCTAAGTGAAATTGTAACACCCCTGATTTTACCAAAATTTAAAAGTTTAAACAAGAGACATAAAGCTAAACATTAATCATTAAGCAACGTCCAAATACGGAGGTGCTATGCCACATCTATATCAAACATAGGTGCACATGCAAACTACTAAACAAACCTCGAATGGTTGATCTAACTAGGCTCGCAGGCCATAAACAACTAGAAACGCATAAGGAGAACTATGCTAACTACGATCCACTAGCGTGCTCTCCAAAGCTACTCAACCTGTAAAAGATAAGGGATAACACCCGGTCAGCGAACAATGCTGGTAACCCACCAACACGCGTTAAGTATCATAATATACATAGATATAATCAAAACCATTTGAAACTGGGAATACAGTATATATCATTTTAAAGCCGAGAGAGAGAAAACATCAATAGACTCATTAATCACTCACAACAAAGAACCAAGACCAACATACTCAATAAGACAATAGAACCACAAGCAACAAGCTCAACAATAAGGTACAACATACGACCCACAATGAAGGATTCACAAAAGACATGCTCTTAGGCAATGGAAGACAAGATTCACACCACAACGAGTTACAAGTCCTCATAGGACACAATCACTCCAAGTCATATACCATGGAGTCAGCACCACGGCTCGATTCATAGTGGATCAGTGTGGAGGGCTCCAAATCATCAATCATGTATCACGTAGTCATCGCAACGACCCGGATCACATGCTATAGTGTCATCGCAATGACAAGGACTGCAGCTTAATGGAAGCAGAGCTAGCAACTTTAAGTGTATACACTCCCTATTCAGATTCCAAGCTCAATGGGTTAACTACCATCTCTGGCAACTGGAATGAGTTTCCCATGTTGCCCACAAGTCACAAGTAACCAAACGGCAATCCGGAGCTTTAAACCCACTACCAGATGCAATCACACATAAGTCTCCACACTGTCCACTTTACCAGCTCAATCATCTCATCACATCAATCCATCATCTCAACAAGAGTCAATACACACGGAATCTAGAGATACAACAACACATAGATTCCACACAAAGTGTGTACAACAAGGGATAAGCTCAACAATAGCTTAATCAAGGAATAATCATACACACAGGATCACATCAAGGGATCCAAACAAGGGGTTTCAATGAAGGACATGAAACGATACTCAACAACAATGGACCTCAATCCAATATCAACATGAGTTGTCAATCCTCAATACAAAGGGACAAACAATACATACTAGCATCAATGACACCAAAACTAGCATGCATATCAAACGGGTAAACCAAAATGGTTCCAATGAACCTCAAAGACTCACAATAATCCAACGAATCACAAAGTTGGACCACAAGCACGATTCAAGACACCAAGTCCTAACATGGACACTTAAGACATTGCTCTATACATAAGTAACATCAAGGAGACACACAAAAGCTCAACAATCCAATCAAACGGGGGCCAAAGAATCACACACAAGTGGGTGAAACGGTGGCCGGACAACCAACACACCATTTCTCAACATGTACCCCGCGGGTGGGGCCACAGGTAGGACTCTTACCCGTGGTTCCTCCGGCGGGGAACACTACAGCACAAAAATTTAGGTTTCGTGGTTTTTCTTCTACAAGGTCAAGTTCAAGTCCAAATGACCCCAAATCTTCCATACAACAAAGATATGACTTGAACCTATGAATAACTCAAATAAAAGAATTTAAGAACCCTAAATACAAGCTCTAAAAATGCATTATCACAAGATCATGCATCAATCACTCAAACACATCAAGAATGTCATATAGAAGCCAATAATCATTATTATCAAGTGAAAATAAGTTTTGTGTAGCATGGGTTACCTCTTGTAGACCTAGAACACCTTCTTCAACCTCAAAGCAAAACCAAAGCTCCTCTAGATCAACCTAGCACTTCACCCACCACTAGATCTTCTACAACCTCCCAAACCCAACAAGGTAAAGGAAAGATTTAGAGAAAAGATGGAGGAATCTTGTAAGGAAAAGGTAGGGAAGGATAGATCTTACCATTTCTAGCCTTGTAGTGTTGGAAAGTTGGAATCTTGGCTTGGGATTTCTTGAAGAACTTGTGAAGATCAACTCTAGGATTTCCTAGAGAGAAGGAGTAAGGGGCAAGAAAGAGATGTAGAGAGAAGGGAAATCTTGAAAAATGATTTGGATTCCTTGGTTAGGGTAGGTTTTAATGCTAGCATTGTGTGAAATGACCAAAAGGGCCCCTTCCTCCCAAAACTAGTTAGGAGAAAGACAAAGTCTAGGGTACAAGGGCTAAAACTCAAGGTACAACTCATTGACCAAATTAAAAGGATAATGAATTTGGTCAACTAGGTCCTTCAACTAATTTCAAAGGGAAATTAGGATAAGAATTGTAAAGCCACAAGGAATTAATTCGGGTTTTAGGGAATGAATTTCCGGGGTGTTACAGAAATTCTCTCATCACAATACTTCTATGCTCTCTAGACATAATATTGAGATCTTTATATAGCCTTTCAAAAGATCATTTTTCTTTAGTTCGTATGCGAAAGTGATTTCCTACATTGATTGAGACTTTTATTCTGACTTTATCTTGGGAGTGTATTCAATCAAGAGTTTTATAAACTTTTGAAGACGTTAAAAGTATGGTACGTGGTATTCGATCTCGACTTTTAAAGACCCTTTAAAAGTTAGACGATATTCGATTCATACTTTTAAAAAGTGTTTAAAAGTATATTGGTATACGATTCAAACGTTTATGGAGTCTTTAAAAGTCTACTGGTATTCAAAAACTTATTAAATTTTATATACTTGACCAGATTAGGATTCTGGTAGACTTTTATTTCACAAATATATAAATAGTTGAAATTCGACCTCCAACCCCAAACATTTCAACTTTCTCTACAAACTTTTTTCTCTGTTTGAACCAATTTAGGTTTTCCGAGTCTAAAATATGGTATCAAACGAACTCCTATTGGCACCAAATTTGAGCTGCGGATATTCCAAGCCTAGTAGAAGGTTTGGAATGCTTTTAAATACCCAAATCCCTAATTTATTGATACGGTCCATGATGGACCGTGGACCTTTGTCTAAAATAAAGTCTGTTAGCCTTTTTGATAAAATAAGGAGGGCTCTTTTACCTTTTCAGATTAGTATTAGGAATCCTAAAGCCTTTTACCTTTTCAGATTAGTATTACGAATCCTAAAGCCTTTTACCTTTTCAGATTTGTATTAAGAATCCCGAACCTCTTACCCATCCGGATTCGTATTAGGGATCCTAACCTATATATAGGGGAATTAGAAGGCATTAGAACCCTATCATCCATATCTCCCTCTCCCCACACGAAATCCTCTCCCATGAACATAGTCAAAGAATTCCCCATCACCGAGCTTAGGGAGGATCGATTGAGGAAATATCTTAGGAAGTTGTGAGAAGCTTAATTAAGCTAAAAAGGTAACTCATGTCTTGCAAAACCTATTTTCCTTGCTACCGTTTATTGATGGGCTCCGTTGAACGATTAAATATATGATTTTGTATTTGTGCTTTGTTAGAGCTTGTCTTTAGGAATTTGTGATATGGATTATTGTTATTCTTGATATTCCTAGTGGCCCTGTGTGGTCTTGGTATGTTATCGTATTTAATTATGTTTAGGGCTTGTCCTTAGGGTTTATATTGTAAATCATGTTGTTGTGATGTTCTTGGTGTTCTCGGGTGGGTTTATGCATGCTCGGGTGTTGATTCAAGGTTAGGGCTTGTTTTAGGGCTTGCATATAGATTCCTTGATGATGTTGAGGTTCTTGATGTCTTGGACCGTTATGTGTTTAATCTCAAGTCTTGACATGTTTAGGGATTGTGTTTAGGGTATAATCGCGATGCTTCTTGGTTTAATTCTTGTTTTTCGAGTCCATATTGTTGTTGATATG